GCTCTTTTCTATTATCTTCAGTGGGATCATTGCTGACTAAGGCAAGCTACTGTAGGCGAAAAAAGCACAAAACTGGAATGAAAGCGATTATACCCAATGTTCCACCTTTCTTAGAGGTATTAGAAAGAGCTGTGTTTTATGACCGAACAGTCCCGGGAGACTGTGTATTTGGGTTGCATTATATCAGGGGTATTAAACACGCGTTGTCACGGCATTGTCATGTGACTTTTTCCCCCTTTGCTAAACCAGGCATGGGGGTGGCCAGAGCGGGACGCATCTGGCCCATGGGCCATGAGTTTGACAACTTTATATGGTGCTAGTGCTGGGCGGGTTGCTTAGAAATGATCTAATACAAGGTCATGAGAAAAGCAGTCTCTATGATTTGATTAAAGGCCCATCTAGTGCATCATAGTTTTTCAGCTAAGTGCTTCTGAAAAGCTAATCAACAGGATATTAACTGGTCCCATTACCCTTGCTGCTTTTCTTTCGAAATTGATATCAAGGCAATTATTCCTAGGCACCGCCTTGCCAAAGTTGATTCTGCCTGTCCTGTCTGAAGATCTCAAGGAGAATTTTCTCAGAATATTCTGTCAATTGGAAACACATGGGCCTCTATGCTCTGGAAGATTCTTTACAACCACATAAAATCTCATGTCATCTTGTCATCTTCTATATTCTAATATCCCCTTAAGAGCCGCAGTGGCGCAGTGGTTAGAGTGCAGTACTGCAGGCTACTTCTGTTGCCTGCTGGCTGCCTGCAATTTGGCAGTTCAAATCCCACCTGGCTGAAGGTTGGCTCAGCTTTCCATCCTTCTGAGGTGGGTAAAATGAGGACCCAGATTGTTGGGGGCAATAGGCTGACTCTGAAAACTGCTTAGAGAGGGCTGTAAAGCACTGTGAAGCTGTCTATAAGTGTAAGTGCTATTGCTATTGTCAAGCTTAATTTCCCTATTCAGTGGATTTGTCCATGTGGTTTTCTTCTCAAGAATATGAAAGAGACTTGCAACTGCCTTCTTACAGTTCTTGTCTCTGCCATCCAAGTATTAGCCGGAACTGATTTGCTTAGAGTATTTTTTACGTTTAATAAACACATTAACCAACCAAGAGATTCTGGTTAGACTTTCCATAACTACAGATAGCCTTTGACTTACAACAGTTCATTTAGTGACTGTTCAAAGTTACAATGGCACCCAAAAAAGTGACTTATGACTGTTTTTCACACTTACGACCATGGCAGCACCCCCGTGGTCACATGATCAAAATTCAGATGCTTGGCAACTGACTTATATCTCTGACAGTTGCTCTGTCCTGGGGTCCTGTGTTCACCTTTTGCGACCTTCTGACAAGCAACGTCAATGGGGAAGCCAGATTCATTTAACAACCATGTTACTAACTTAACAACTGCAATGACTTACGAAACAACTGTGGCAGAAAAGGTTGCAAAATGGGGCAAAATTTTTCTGCTTCAAGGAAGGTAAAGAGGAACAGTTTTTGCATTTACTATCTGATTATCTTTCTAGGATAGAATCTGGCAGGCAGCCATTCCTTCCTCCCCCTATTGGAATTAGATCTGTGTTAAATTTCCATGCAGGTTCTGAGGTTTTTGCTATCTTGTGCAGATTATTTCTAATTATGAGTATGATTCAGTTAAATGTAAGTTTAATTAAAGAAGACTAAACTCTCAGTTTTAGCAATTGAAGCAGTTGTCTGAATTCACCTGTACTATGCTGAGTGAAGCTTTCCAGCACATCGTCTGAAAGAATGAGATCTCAGTGAAAGTAAAAGTGCCTTAGTCTCTTGTGCTCCTCCCGCTCCTCCTTCTCCTCTTCTTTCTTCTCCTTCTCTTTTTCCTCCTTCTCCTGTCCAGACCAAACTTGAACTCCCAAAATGAAGCCACCTTCTTGACTTTGTCCATTGGCCAAAAATAGGTCATTGTCGGTACATTGTAATTAATTTATCACTTGCAAAGAGAAAACTCATTTCTATCACTCTGATTCATATTGAAAGGAAATATGGCCAGGTTACCTGACACACCTTATACTGGTGAAGTGTTTAGTGAGGAGTTTGGCTCGTCAGAAGGATGATGCATGTGAATGCTGATAGTTTGGTTGCAAATTCCACATATACTGAATGGTAAATAGTGCCATCACATGGCTGTTCAAGCAAATGACAATATAGGCAGGGCTAAGTGATTCAAGAGCTATCTTCCCCAATTTGACAACGGATATATTGGAGTTGCCTTTAGCCACCATGATTAGGAATGCTGGGAGTTCTAGCTCTACCACACACAGCCCCACTTCATATGGTACAGTTGCCCAGAAGCGATATATTTTAAAGTCTGTAGATTGCAGTTACAATTTAACTTTTAATGGGTGTATCACTGTCAATTGCCAATGCCAGAAACAAATCATACTATTTATACAGTCACAAGCATGATTGTCATATTGCATATTATCTTGGAAAAGGATGCCTTCTAGGGCTACCCAACAACTTAAAAGTATCTCCATCACCTTTTCACAATTGCATTTATGGACGATGGCAGTGATGATGGCAAAATCATCATAGGTAGATTTTAGTATCATGCTATACCTTTCAATATCACACCATCAAGTTTTCCTGGCCATTTCATGTGACTATTGAAAAACATTGGAGGTAGAATGTAATCTGAAGGGATCCTATAAAATAGCTTCTGTTTTGAGGGAGACCTGTCTTAAATCACACCATTTGGACTCTACCACAGAGAGGTAAACAGTACCACAGCAAAGCACTATCTTCAATTCCTGATCTCTGAGAGGATCTAGAACAGGGGTGTCAAACTGGATTTCTTCGAGGGCCGAATCAGCATTGTAGTGATGAGGGGGAGTGGGGGGAGAAATGGGAAGATGAGAAGTCCTGCAACACTTTGCCAGCCAAAACAGGGTGCATGTGGCCCATTTTTGGCCTCCCCAACCTCTAGCAGCATTCTGACAGCCAAATATGGGCCACACAAAGGCCTCCACGTGGCCCATTTTTCCTGACAGGCACCGTGGGCCAGTCCTTTGATATTTCCAGACCGGCCCCACAGGCCAGATTAAAGCACCTTGTAGGCCATATCTGGCCCACAGCCCTTGAGTTTGACACCCCGATCTAGAAGGATGCCACAGTATCGAAAACCGCTAATTCAAGAAAGACTGAAAGAGAAACAGTTTCTTCATTAGTGTAAGCCTGAAACTGGTGAAATAAGATTTGCTGATTCACCAGAAAAGATGCTTTTGTAAACAAGGGACTGATCGCCCAAATATGTTAGAACAGTTACAAGTAGGCATATAGTTTTTGAGTTAAAATAGCAGAAGGAAGAAGCCCAGGATTTAAAACTCAAGATTAACTTATACAGAAACCATGGTTCCATTTTCCGGTGCTCTTAACTGGAGAATTTCTTCACATATATGAGTACCTAATTTTCTACACTAAATATATTACCACTGTATATATTAATTTTTTTACAGTAGATCTACTTTAAAATGCAGAGCAGGGAGAAATATTTGATTGCCATATCTGGTGTCAAGCTCTGGTATCCAATCCTCAAACAAAAGTATCCATGACATCAATTATGAGAGCAGCCAACTCTGAAATTTGGCCCTTCAATCAGGTGAAATCCCACTTGAATTGCAACATTTCCTCCATGATTACCATCACTTTTTCAAACCATTTTACCCAATTGTGGATGTTTGAATATTGACCTCTAATTGCTTTTTTTTAAAAAGATCCACTGCAGGCTTTTTCAAAGTACAAACTTCCTTGAGTCAAGCATCCTTGCTGGTAAACCCATGGGTACATGCATGTATCACCCAGTGGTTTTCTATCCAATCCTAACTGTGGCTGACCTTATTTAGCTTTCATTACAAGACAAAGTCAATTTGGTGTTGCAAGTTGTTGTGGCAAAGGCTTTTTTGGAAGTCTAATCTGATTTTTAGATCTTTAGATAAAAAGACATCCTTCTTTTGCTCAGAGTGGTCTTTGTGATGTTCACAAAGGGATTTTCTAACAATTTCTGTCTAGAAGTTACAAGCTACATTGTGCAATGATGTTAGTTAGAGCATACCCTCTAAACAACTTGGCCACGTACTTGGGTGTCAGAAACTCAAATTGATCCAGTGTAACTAAGTTAAAAAAAAAAAGTTACCAGACAGTCCCATAATTCATTTTTCTTCACTAGCAGAAACCAGGCTGGTCTGACCAGAACAGACTTCATGCAAACAAACAAACTTACATAAAAATAAATTGCAACTAATTCATTAGAGTTTTGAGGATCAAATTCTGGAAGGAAATGGTTAGTAATATGAATCAACTCTGTTCCAACTTGAAACGATTCAAGCTGAAAATAGCGGCAATAAGGCTGCAAATAGGCAATAAGCACAGAGAAATCGTGGGTGGGTGTGTTTCTGCAGATCTCATCAAAGTTTATTATTTCAAATTGGCTTCACACTGCCTTATCAAATTTGAAGCACATTGTTGTCCACTTACACTCTTGTCTTATCACTTCAATTTCCTCAAGTCCTCTAAAGGAGACTGGAGACCACCCTGGGAGTGATAGTATCAATTTACCTCAGCAAATATCTTATTTCATGTAACAACTGGGGTATTGATAGAAACCTTGGTAGGATTAATCACAAACCTTGCTAAGCCATCTGGAATCCTTATAGATCTAATAGCCTTTTCAGACAACCATCTTAGTAGGTCCAGTAGTTTTACAGAGATGAGATGTAGCCATTTAACCAAATGATGAGCCATTTATGACAGTGGAGAGAGCCTTGAGATCCCACCAGAAATACAAATATGGCATAGCATGGTTTTAAAATTAACATAACGTAATGCAGCAGAATGTAACGTAGTATCTGTGTGATGTTCATATGTTCTTATATGACAGGAATCCCATTTCTTTCTTTTACTATAGCTTTTGCCTTATTTTGTCTCAGAGGCCCTTTGATCATTTCATTTCTTCTTCTCTTCTTTTCCAATAGGTGACAACTGTGAAGTGGATAGTCGGGCAGGACGTTGTGTTCCTGGAATATGTAGGAATGGAGGCACTTGCACCAACTCTGCCGACGGAGGCTTCCAATGTCAATGTCCACCCGGAGGCTTTGAAAAACCATTTTGTGAAGTATCTGTACGGTCTTTCCCTCCCAAATCTTTTATCATGTTTCGAGGTTTGCGCCAGAGGTTCCACCTGAGCCTTTCTCTTTCGTAAGTTCTGCTAAGAAGCAGCTTTGTAAGAACTGCCTTTATCTGCCATTGATGATGTTGAATTTTATCTTGCTGAACTCTGTTATATATTTGCCCTGGCTTTCCAGTTAGATTTTCTCTTTATATTGGGGAGCGGGAGGGGAATTCCCAAGATATTAGTTCTATCAAAGTATCTTCACAAGAGTGAGATTAAAAAAAAAAAATTACTAGGAGAATTATTATAATTGTTGGCAACTCTCACTTGCTCAAATGTAAACAAAGCAGAAATTCAACAAGGGCAGGTTTCCTTAAAATATGGTACAATGATTAGTTGGGCTCTATTTTGTCAGTTCTGGGTGGGGCGGGAGATGACAGATCTACTCTTTATTGATGATTTGAAAGTAATATAATTCTTTCTGCAGTCATAATACCAACTGGCAATTACATTAACTGACTTGAGTATGGTACCGGGAAAAATTGTATGAAAATTCCAGAAAAATTTAACTAGTTTGTTCAAGTATGTGTGAAAATTCTAACTCTTTTATATTTCATCACTAGATTTGCCACTGTAGAGCGTGGTGGTCTCTTAATTTACAATGGACGTCTGAATGAGAAACACGACTTTCTGGCTGTAGAGATTGTTGATGGGCAGGTCCAGTTGAAGTACTCTACAGGTGGGTGTGGTAGATGGGTCCATGCTTTCCTCACTGATGTCCTCAAGAAGCTGACATTGTAATATTAAATGGTACTTACTATAAAATAGACTTTTTCTGTTGAGAATCTTACAGAAGCTGCACTTTTTTCAAAATTAGTACCATCGCTACTGATGAATTATCAGAAAGGTCTTCTAATCCAGCAAATAAAGACATTTGGGACCCTATAAAGTCCCTTGCCAAATAGAATAGTCCTTTATTACAAAGTGGTAGTCACATTTCCAACCACAGGAAAATTTAGATACCAGTATCTGGGCAAACACGAAAAAAACAAAATACTGTATTTTGAACTAAGCACTCTTTCAACATTCCTGTTTTTTTTTTTTTTTTGAAATAGTCATTTGCTGTGGACAATGGGCAGTCAGTATTCTAATTTTGAAGCTTCAGGTATTTTGTTTCAAAATAAGCACTTCAGTCTGCAACTTCTAATGTGGCCCATAATTCAACTTGCAGAAAACTTCTCTATATGCAAATTTGTAGTTGGCAGGTGTTGCTAATCTTTGTAAGAATGTTCGCTTTAATCAATTGCAAGGGTTGCAGAGAATTAGTCTGTAGGCTAATATACCAGATTCTGTGTTTGCACCCATTAAATTTGCATGGATGATCTGTACAAAAATGCCAGTTTGTACTTTGCAATTTGTACAGTCGGGTCATGTGATTGATTCTGGGATAATAACTCAGAAAATTTTTAAACTATATTTATATCAACATAAAGATATATGTCTGAATGACATAATAAGGCGGGAATATTGAAGATGGGAAGATAGTGTACTGTATGTGTAGATGCAGCTCACCTGCTCATATGTCCACTTAGAATATCAAGTCTACAGGTTACAAAGATTCAAGTGCTGTCAGAATGAAAGCTGGAAGCCATTTTCTGTTTTAAGCTGCAGTTTGAAACTTTTACTGGCATGCGACATAATAATAACCACATCCTTTATTCACAAGATTCTATCTGATAATGCAGAAAAATAGGACTGGTTATTCAACTTTAAAGATGAAGTCCAAAACAGAAACCACCTGAACATAGTTACTGTATTACAGAAAATGGCTTTCATTTCAAGGGAGTTAAAAACGTCAGTAAGGCAGGCTGCAGTCTTGTTACTGCAGCATTCTCCCTTGCTTAGCGCAGAAAATAAAAATCAGATTTGTTGTGTTTTCACCTTTTCAAAGAAGAAAAAGGATAGTTAAGAAGTGGAGATCTACAGTTTTCCTTATGAAAGTTCAGCTAGCGAAAAAAATATACTTTGATGTTTATTTACCAAATATCTAAAACAGTTAAATGCAAAATAGAGGGGCCAGGAAGGAACAGCAGGTAAAAATTTACATTATCTCTATATCTCTAAAATTTCATTCAAAGGGTGCAGCAGCTTTGGAAGCAGTATTGTAGGTAACTAGCACACAATCTGAAAGAGAGTAGTTGTTGGTTATTCCATGCATAACCCATTTACGTATACAAAAGTAGTTGAATAGAGCTGAAAAGTGGGACACCAGGTGCTGTTTTTCTGTTTTGCACTACAAAGGGGACAATTTGGTGGACAGAGTTAATACAGCCAATATTGATAAGGAAGGCATTTTTGCTACTTTCCCTAATGAATCCAGATGGAGTATTGCTCATAAATATTGATACTAAGTGTAAAATCAATATGCTTTCTTTCACAGCATTCTGGGTTTTTTTTATAATGCAGAAAACATTAAAGGAGTATTATGTATCCAAGCAACGTCTTTTTTTTCTTGTGTATTTGAGTGTGTGTACAGAGCATTCCTATAAGGTTGACTTACACTAGCATTGGTGATGACACATGAATAATTATATAACCCAACTTTGACGGATGATGTTCCTGCCAAACATTAATGGCTGGATTGATCAAAAAGCCAAATGAATGGAGTTTATACTAGAACTCATTTCATGGGTTTAGGGCCTTCTTTATTTTATTTTATTTTTAAATCCCACTTTAAAACATTCCTTGGGATCATCTTCATGGTTAGGATTGCCCTACATAGGAAAGAGTGTTACTCTTTTAACAACTTAGTGGGCTGCAATTCTGATCTTGGCATGAGTGGAGAATGAAGAACACACAAAATGTCATGTCGCAAAGGTGCTTTTTCAAGAGGCTACTGGACTTTCGGGTTTTGCTGAAGAAGCTTCTTGGATCAGAAGTGAAACATCTTCAAAGAAAACCCAGAAAGTCCAGTTGAAAAAGCACCTTTGGGACAACCATGACCTGGATGACTGAGAATCTCCATAGACACAAATGTCATCCCAATCTACTTACTGTGGGTCTAATATCCCTCTGCCTTGCAGGGGAATCAAGCACTGTTGTTTCTCCATCTGTACCAGGAGGGGTTAGTGACGGTCAGTGGCATACGGTGCAACTTCATTATTACAACAAGGTAGGCACAAACATTTTTGTGTTGTGGTGGTTTTCTTGTGGTGGTGTTCTGGTTGCATTTGGAGCACAAGTTGTGGGCCATGTGTTCAGTCTTCTTTTTTCCCCAGGACATCTGCCAAATTCTTTTGCCACATTGAAAGTAACTAGCCTTCAACATTGTACTAAACTATGCTTTGTCAGACATAATAAGAAGACCATCCATTTGAGTACATTTTCATTTGGGTACAAATGAACGTGGCTGGGTCCACACAACACACAAAAGCAAAATGATGTAAACATGGTTATGACTTAGCAGATGTGTGAACCTAAGCTAGCTCAATAAGAGCTGCCTTCTCAAGCATAGCCTGAGGTATTCGGTGTAAAAACATTGATAAAAATAAGTCAAATGGGTTTTGAGTCAATGCTAGCATGGGAAAATGCTTTTGGCATTAAGATTTCCACAGGAGGCAATGAGATGTAAACAAGATAAGTAAATATAGTCAATAGTTGGTAAATATAAAAATTACAAATGGCACAATGCTACAAAGAAAACCACATCACTCTGTCAACTTCTTCCCAACTGGCACTTTTTGCATCTATTCCAGGTGAACCTTTTGTGCTTGGTATATCTAAAAATTGGAAAATGCCCAACTTGATTCTGCTAGCTCACATACATGCACACACACAAACACATATACACACATCCCCGAGCAAAGGAGAGAGAATTGTCTTTCTTTCCTCTGGGCTATTTCGAATATTGGAACTTGGCAGCAACTCCAAGGCAGGGCATGAAGTAAAGGGTCAGCAGCCGTAGCACCTCAACTTCAGTCCTAGCTGACACCCCAAAGGTCTGCCTTGCATCATTCCTCAAGGCATGTCAACCTTGGGGAATGGCACAATTCCTCTTGCAGCCCAACATTCCTCAGGATCTGCCATATGCCACTTACTTTCAAGCAATGTTCTCTTTCTGCTGAAGGCCCTTGCAGCCTACCTGAGGCTGCTCCAGATCATACAAGGCCTTCTTTCTTCTAGCAGCTTTGGAGAATGCTCCATTTTTTTGGCCTCTGTAGCCTCTGAAACCTGTATGAAAGTACACCCTGCTCTTGTGTGATTTTTGGAGGGTCTGGAAGCTCGTGAGAGTACAATCTCTCACATAATTTCCACTAGATCCAGAAGCCAACTGAGAGTACATCCCATTCTTGGATGGTTTCTGTAGCCTGTGAAAACCATGTGAGAACGGGACATGCTTTCAATGACAGTTGGGTGTTGGTGAACAATGATGTGTCATCCAAAACATTGTGGTGTGTCACCTTTGACATGTGTGTCATAGGTTTGCCTTCACTGTTCCAGATTCTGCTATCACAGGGCAATTGGACCCCAAGGTTGGGAGTGACAGAAAGTACATTGTAGTGATCTCAAACTATTAAATGATCTCACCTTGGGCTTGTCCCCATATTGCCCTATTTAAGTGCAATATTTTTAAGTCTGTTAGTATGGCATTCCAAAGATCAACAGAGTTTAAAGATATAAATGCATTTTCAGTTATATACTTACATTTATATCGCTATCTGAAAGAATTATAGATTTTCAAGTAAGAGCTATGTTGGAACAATAGTACAACCCAGATTCACAGATACATGGTGTGGGGGTGGATGGGGGGGGTGGATGAATTCTTTACCAATGAAATGCAAATACTAATTAATAGTTTTTGTGTGATCAAGATTTTATGATTTATTTTATTTATGATTTATTTTAAAATAAGCTGTATGAGTTCCTGAATGTTTTGATTATTTTTGTTTTCTTTTTCTTTTTGTATTTTTTTTCCTTTTTTGTGTATTAAAGCAAGAAAGAGAGAATAAAAGCTTTTCATTCCCATGAGAATGGCAACCATCATGTATAAAGCTTTCTACTTTTTTGGGAAACTTGATTCCACACTGAGAATCTATTGAATGAGTAAACAAACATGGCGACATCTCATCCAATGGAGTATCAAGAAACACCGGTGTGTGCTTGTATGCTAGTTCTCTAAGTGTAGAGTTATTTTTTTTTAAAGTAGAAAGGTATAATCTAGCTGAATTCTGAATTAGAACAGTGTTTAGTGGAGTGTACCTTAAGCCAGATGAAATGTAACAGTGGTATTAAGGAAAGACCTATTCAGCTTTGCTTTATCATTTCAGCCCAAAATAAACTCCCTGGGTTCAGTGCAAGGACCTTCCACAGACAAAGTGGCCATTCTAACAGTGGATAAATGTGATACATCTCTGGCCCTACAGTTTGGCAATGAGATTGGGAACTATTCCTGCGCAGCAGAGGGAGTACAGTCCAGTTCCAAAAAGTGAGTCTTTTATATTTTTCAGCTAAAGTAAAACAAATGTGCTAAGTGTATTTCCCTGTCCTGCCCTGTCCTTTTTTTTTCTTTACGTTATCACCCTTGGAAGCCATTTTCCTCTTTGGAGCTTTGAGGCTGCCACATTCAGTGCCTGGGAATTTGGGAGGGGGGATTTCATAGTGAGGTAGAAGAGTAGGCAACATTCTTTCTCAGAGAGTCAAGGGCATGTTGCTCTGTACCTGGAGGGAAATGACCGAGGGATGTCTCCAGTTGGGACGAAGATTTGATTGGGCCATGTGGTGGACTGATGGATGCAGGGGGATGGATCTTTGATTCTCTTTGGGGAAGGGAAAACTCGGAACCCTCAGATTCTGGTTTTCCCAGATGTGCCAATATGACAACTCAAATCAAATGGAACTTTGAGGAATTGCTTGTCTTGGAGTTTATTGGTTTGGAGTTGGTTAGCTGAAACATTGACATTAACCTGAATCTCTAAAACTTCAACCAGCTTCCTGAGAACTGGGGGCTGTCTGAGGTCCTGAGCCCCGAACGCTGACCTTCCTGTCAGGTGGCATGAAGACCCTGGGAAGAGATGTCATACATCTTTTTTTCACAACTTCACTCTAGTTCATGCTCAGTTTGAGCCCTGGAAAAGGGAAAGAGGAAGCTCCATAATATGGTTTATAATACACTGTAACCTCCACAGGATGAGCCATGTTTTCATCATTACTCATATGATGCCTGCTCTCTGCAAGTAATTATTCAGCCCTTGCCTAATTAAGCAAGCTTGCAAAGCAACTGTAGTTGAGTTTTGGTGACCTTGTCTTTAATTGCTTTTCCATACCTGCGGGGGTAGCGGGTGGAATACTATTCTGTCAGGCAGATAATCTTGAAAGTCCCCCAACATTACCAATTTGCCAGTATTGACTAAATATTAGTGGGTCTTCCTCTCTCAAAAGGCCAAGGCTTGGGAATATCCAGTGAAGTTTTTTGACAGAAAACTTCAGTTCTTCACACACTGCTTAATTAACTTATGGAATTTGTTGTCCAGAAGACATTATGATAGCCACTAATGTGGATGATTTGACAAGGGGAATCAGATAAAAGAAGAGGTCTGTCAAGGGCTATCTATCCTGAGGATTCCACATTATCACCGTGTCAGAATTAGCATGCGCTAGATGGAAGTTGGAATTTATCTATCAATTTTTAGGCCACCCAATTGTCAGTGGTAGGAGAGGAATATATCTCCCTCTCTGGCTTATAAGCACTCCAGAAGCAACTGGCTGGTTGTGTGTGTGTACTCACTAAGTAGCCTCTTCATATACCTCAGTTTTTGGCTATGTGGATTCTGTCTTTCCATAAGTATTAGCAAACAAAACAAACTGCTGATTGACCACATTTTTCCATTTTGGACTTAAATGCAACATTGCAAAAACAGATTTATGATGTCTTTGTAGCATTGGGGTGTGTGTGTGTGTGTGTGTGTGTGTGTGTGTGTGTGTGTGTGTGT